GAACATGCTAAGCACCCTCCGTTAATAATGGGGGATAAGTTCCAGGGCTGTCAGTGGATGCCTAAAATCATGGATAGTAGTAAATGCTACATATACTGGTTTATTCCCATATGAACACACCTATAATAAAGTTTGATTTATAGACACTGTAAGAGACTGACAAAAATTATAAGATGGAAAAAATGTAACAATGTGGTATAATAAAAGTTAATGTGATCTCCATCTCTCAAAATACTTTTTTTCTTTCTAGAAAGGAAAATAAGGCTTCTTTTGGCATTTTCAAATTATTAGCATCACTATTGTTGTATCTCGGGATCCTCATCTAGTAAAACCAGGGTTACTTGAGCACAGGCACCGCATGTCTGTGACGGGCAATTTGACAACCGAGAAAGCTGCTAAGAGACTAACAGGCTGGCCTGCACATGGAGTGGATGTACTCAGCCCGCGTTCAGGACTGACAAGATCTCATTACACTACTTGGAGCAGCACCCAATGAAACCCTTATAAAATCCTTCTTTCTGAAACTTTTAAAAAATATTTTTGGAGTCCATGGGACATGAAGTCATGTGACTTCCCACTGCTGTTGTGGTGCATTCTATACTCAGGGGTGCAAGAAGAAATCAACACCTGTCCACAATTTTATATGCTTTCCCACAAGGCAGTAAGACATTAGAAATCTGCTCCTAAATGTTTCATTTCCAGCAATAAAAAGGAAGGACAAAGAGAAAAAGCTTAACAGTGCATGGGGAATTGTTAAAGTCCTAGGTCTGACCAGCACATGACTGGAAAGTATCTCCTAGGACTGCGCCATCCCAAGGGGCTTTGTCAACTTCTTGCATGGAATGTCCTACTCAGCAACTTGATCAAAAGGCTCCCACAGACAGGCAACAGCTATTACCAGAAACACTGCAACTGGGCAGAAGCCCACTCCTATAGGTGAGTTCTGGCTATGCCAAACTGTGTCTGGCCATAGCCGTTCACCTAGCTACCATGCTGGGCTTACACTTGGCAAACACATGGAGGGAAAAATCACATACCACTCTTCTTTCCTATTTTATGGTTTGGTTTTTTTTTGAAGATATATTTATTTGAAATAGTTACAAAAAGAGAAAGAGAATGAGAGAAAGAGAGAAATCTTCCATCCACTGGCTCACTCTCTAAACTACTGCAACAACTGGGTCTGGTCCAGGCTGAAGCTTCATCTGGGTCTCCCATAGGAGTGTAGAGGACCGAAGACTGTAGCAATCATTTTCCCACATATCGTATTTCAAAACATCACATGGCATACTTTAAGCATTTACAAAAACTTAATTTAAAAAAAAAATGACCATTTACATTCCCTTCCTTTGTGGTATGCAAACTAGCAAAAGTTGCTTTGTTGTTGTCAATCATATGGCAGAAATTGTTACTCTTTAAGTGTGATGAACTGTGTGGGCAAGCAGAATAGTAACACACACAAGACAGAGGGAATTCAGATTGTACAAACAAAATTCCATCAGAATGCAAGTGTATCTGAGGTCTTCAAGACTATCAGAACTGAGGGAATATTTGTAAACATAACTTATGGTTCTATTTCTGAATATGGAAATAACAGCAAAGATACCAAAAATGAAAAGGGTAAAGATATTGTGAAATATCTACTTGGTATTCTTTCCCTTTTCTGGGTATACAGCTTCTAAAATCCTTGTGTATCTCAGAAGTGACAGCATCTTTTCTGAACTGAAGAGTGAATTGATTCAGGACAGGGATGATCCTTGGAGCCACAGTGGGATTCAAGAGGTGAGACTTTGGGAGCAGCACATTGGCTTAGCTAGCTAATCTCCCACCTCCAAGCACCCCATATGGGTACCAGTCCATGTCCTGGCTGCTCCACTTCCATCTAGCTCCTTGCTAACAGCCTGGGAAAGCAACGGAGAAAACGCTCCTGGCAGCTTTGGATCAGTTCAGCTCCAGCCATTGCGGCCTTATGGGGAGTGAACCAGCACATGGAAATCTTTTTCCTGTCTCTCCTTTTCTCTGTAAATCTACCTTTCCAATAAACATAAATAAATCTTAAAGACAAAGAAAAGAGGTGAGACTTCTAGTCATACCTCCAACCCCAGAAATGGAGCAAGAGACAGAAGGTCAAGCTAATCAACAATGACCGACAATTTAATCTACCATGTCCATATGCTGAAGCTCTCTACTGACCAAACAGGACCAAGTTCACAGAGCCTCTGGGTGGCTGCATATGTGGTAGTGCTTAGAGGGTAGTGTGTCAAGGGGCCAGCAAAACTCCCCACAATAGGTATACTTTTTAATTACCTGGGTAGTGTAAGTAGGGGTTTCACTGAGTTCTGTGAGCTGATCAGGCAAGACAATCATGCCTGAACAGGGGAAGTCAGGGGAACCCAGTGTGGAGCTGGTTGACCAGCAGTTCTGGAGGTTCAGGGTTGCATCTGAATATGCAGTGGGTGCCTCCTTGGGGACTGAGTTCCCCCGGCCACTGCCCATGTCTGCAGGATCTGATGCCAGCTCCAGGCTGAAAGTGTCAGAATTGAATTGAATTGAACTGAATTGGAGGATACCCAGCTGGTGCTATCCCCAAGACAGGCAACCTGCTTGCTGGTGGGAGAAAGCTCAGAAGCTTTTCTCTGCTGACTGGTTTATTGTGAGAGCAGAGGGGAAACACTGTGTTTCTCCCAAAATAATGGATAGAAACAATTCCAACAGGCAAAGGCAGAAGGAAGCACATTCCAGAACAGGGCAGAATAGCAGAAGCTGCAGCAGCACAGCACCTGTAAGGAGCAGGCACTCATGAAGAGACCAGCACAGAGGCATGGCAGGCAGTCTCCCTGAGACCCATTGAAGCCAGCAGCTGGGCAGTCAGGAAAACTTGGGTATCCCACCTTCGCAGGAGGCGAAGACTTTCCTGGAGACCAAGAGAAGCCACAACAAATTTGTCTAGAAAAAAAGCAGTCCTACATGATGCAGCAAGAATGTTCAGTTGCAGATACTCAGTATCACCTCACCAAAACCACCTTCACTTTCCCGTCCTAAGCAAGGTTTTACGTTAAAACAGCAACACAAATCCACCTCTAGGGAATCAACAGAAATAATGCAGCTGCTGCCTGAGATGTCTTGAAAAAGCAGTGGTGACATAGGGTGTATAATATGTGTGAAGACAACAGTCCCCCTGCTCTTCTTCACAATTCACAACCATTTTTTTTTTCTGTCTCCAATCCTTCCACTCCCACCGCAGCCAATTCCCTACCCTTCTTGTCCTGATTTTACTTGGGTAGGTAAGAACTCTAAGGCCTCCTTTCTTTTGGCAGAGTCTGCTCCCCTCAGGGACATCAGGAACAGAGAACAGGACTAAGAGCGCAGGTGTACATGTCATGAAAACATGACCTTTCCACTGCTGACCCCGGTCAGGCAGACCCATAGGAACCTGAGTTAGCAAGACAGCCTAGAAGGTGAATGCTAACACTGTTGTGAACTTGAACTAGGATGGCAAAAATGATGGTCACAAGGAAGAGCCAGGTTCACTAACACAACATGACTAAGCTGCTGGAGAAGAGTTGGCCAACAACAATGGGCAACCCTATCGTCCCAAGCCATCACAGCAACCTCCTGAATGTTGGTAGAGAGGTTAAAGGCAAGGAGGAGCACACACCGGAACAACAGGCAGGCCACGGGGAGGGAGGAGAGATGAGGATGGTGTCTCATAAATGTCTCCACCTACTTCCCAACCCTCTATATACCTCTTGTGGAAATTCTGGGTTGGGGGCAAATGGGGGACCTCTGGCTTCAGGCTTTCATATGCACTGCCATGGAGCCTGGGACTGCACCCTTGCAAAACCTGCAGTCTCAGATGTGTCCAGGGACTCCTCCTACTGACAATGGAGTACACATACATGTTTGTGTACCAAGGATTTCAGAGCCCCAGGCACATACGTCAGCCCCAGGTGATGACACTGATTATGCCACAGAGTAATCAAGACAAAACCCCAGCATTATGGGGTAGGCCTCCAGGACCTGGCAGATGCATCCTACTGGGAGAGCTAGGAGCTTTGCCGCCCTCTGAGTTTGTTCAGAGTGGTTTCTGACCTGTTCTCATGCCCTGCTTGTATCTGATTCACATCCAACTATTCTGTACACAGAGTCGGAACTATAATGCCGCCCTTTTTCCTCCCCACATCAATGAAGTGCAATGACCCAGCCTGGCAGGCTCTAGACACAGCCATGCACCAGCTGCAGTTCTTCACCTACTGCTTTCCTTCCTGCCTCGGGTGTCCCATACATCTCTCCCCGCCCCCCCCCCCAACATCACAGTCATCCCCTCTGAAGGCCTCTGCGCTCCCCCTCCACCTTACCCCATGCCCCGCTCCTTTCCTCCTCATCACACCACTTCCTCTCCATCTTCATGGCCCTTCCTCCCCGTACCCCTCCTCCACTGTGAGCATCTAGGGCACAGGAATTGATCTGGGAGCAGCCAGCAGTACCTGGGACCTTTTCGCACTGACCTAAGTTCCATCATTGAGGAGTCAACCAACCACGGCCTGGGGCGAGCCTCAAAGTGGAAGGAGAGGGACCTGAGTAGGTTCAGATGTTGAGGGCAGTAATCCCGGTTAATTCTCAAAACCCCAGCAGAATCAGAACTGGGCTACTCGTAAGCACACAACAACCTGCTCAGCTACTCTTTAGCCCATGGGATGGAAGCTCAGGTCCTTAGCTTTTGGTCGGTTATTTCCAAAAAAGGTCCCTCTCATACCTAGGAAACAGACCTGTAAAGCTGGCTCCTTGGGCAGCTGGATTTTGTCATTGACGTGTCAACCACCATCAGTCGGATAAACCCCATTACCTCTTCGTCTGGGAGCCGGGTTTCCTACAGAGAGTTGGTTTATTTTCCGCGCGCTTAACTTACGCTTCCCAAAGGGAATGCCTCTCCCGAGTTCCAAGAGCAATTCAGTAAGAGTCAGGCACAGCGCAGACGACCGGCTGCGAAGCGTCCCTCTTACCTGCGCTCCGGAAGGCGCTGGGAGCCGGGCCGGCCCCGACAGCCGGGACGAAAAACAACGTTCTTGGCTCCTCGCCCGCCACAGCCACATGCACTACCCTGCGCCCCTGGGGCCTTCCCTGTGTCCCGTGCAAGGACAAAGTCAGAGCCAGAAGGAGGAATGCAGGCAGCAGTGCGCCTGGCTTAGCCGACCGCATGTCCGGAGTTGGAGGTTCCAGGGAGCGGGAGGCTGCGGGAGGAACCCGAGGAGGGGCCGGGCAGTCCGCAGCCCTGGAGAAGGGTGGCAGGATCTCCGTCACCTGGGCGGCGGGAGCCCTCACAGCCCGTCTGCCCTCGCCTGTGTCCCGAGAACTTCTGGCTGCAGGCGCACCAGGACTTGGCCCGGCGTGCTGGAGCATGTGCACCCCAGGGATGCGGGGCGGGGACCGAGGCGGGGCGGGGCGCTAGGGGACTACGGGGTCGTCCCCGGTGGGAAAGGGGCGTTTCACGGCACAGGGAATCCTTGGACCGAGCCCCAGTTTCAGCCTGGTCGTCGGGGCTCCCTCCGAATACCTCCCCCAGACCCCGGAATTGAGTGCCCAGTCCTCATCTCTAGGAGTGGGAGTTAAGGGACATCCCGTGCCTTACTGCGAGTTTTCTGGGGGCTGAGACTGGCGCTCGCCCAGCTCCCCGAGTCTCGGCCACGGTTTCCCCAAGGGCAGGCAGGGTGAGCAGAACAGGCAGCTTCCAGGTCTGGACAGCAAAAGGCTGCATCGGTTGGGGAGCGGACAGAAAGGTGGCGAGTTCACTTTCTTAAACTTGGACCCTGGCTCTGGGATGCCTTCTCCCAGGAGCAGGGCGCTTGGAAAGCTGGAGAAGCCGCGGCTCTCCGGGAACCACGGTCGCCTGACTCATGCCCACCCCAGGATCCTCGGGAGGGAGGCATTGATTTAGACAGGTGAATTCACCCAAGACGACCAGAACGTCGTCATTTCCCAGCTAGGGAAGTCACAGAGGTTTTGTCAGTGCTAAATTTAAAAAATTAAAATGATTTTAATTCTACCATTCTAATACTTTTTTTTTTTTAAGTGAGCATCTCTGATCAAACCGTGCTCACTTATTGGGATTCTAGCAACCCGCCCTCATAATTGCTTTTAGACAAGCACGTTGAAAAGCTTTGGAACAGCTTGCCAAGCAAAGCAGCGCTAATAATACCGCACGCTAAATGGCAAACCTGTGAAAGAGGAAAAACCAATGGCTTCTTCTCTCACAAACCTTGCCCAGGGTTACTCTACAAAGAAATCTTGTCCATTGCAAACCTTAAAAGACAGTATTCAGCTGATGGAAAATTTGATTTAGACTCTCCCGCAGGCCCAGGACACTAGGGCCAGGATCCAATTTTACAGAAATCCTTTAAGATCTTATCTTCAACTAGAATTATTTTGGGAAAGCTACCCAGGTGAAAAATACAGCTTCCAATTTCGATTATATAAGAAATGTAAACACACCCAAAATCGTCCATACTTATAGGATACTATGTGATTTCCCCCCCCCATTTTTATAACATTTTACATTAAGTCATAAAACAGTGATTGTCTAAAAATTTGTACAAAGTTGCTAGAAGCATAAAATTTCCAAAACTGCCAGGGATTTGTTGGTGTTGTTGCAGTTTCCTAAAGGCATACTCCGCTGAATGGTAAAATGCTACATTATGTGATATATCATTACCTTGGTTAATGCACACACACACACACACACACACACACACACACACACACACACACAATGAATGCAATCTCAGTAGTGACTGTGCAGGAGCTGCTAGTGCTAGGGCGTCCTGGAGAAGACCAAGGCTGGGGGATCCCAGCAGCAGGATGAGCCCTGCTGTGACCCCAAGGCCGTACCTCAGCACCAGCTGATGACTCCATGGCTTCCACTAAGCTCCCTTCTCCTTTGGGAAAGAATCAAACATTCCGGGAAAAGGAGGAGGGAATGGAGACCACATCTACAGGCTCCAGGTGGCTGTGCTGTGTGGTGTTCAGGGCAAAGACCGTTGCATGAGTGAAGCAGGGAAGAAAGCCTCCCTGCCTGCACTCCCCAGAATGTGAGAGAACGTGATCTAGAACAGATTCTCTAGGGGACTTGTGGGCTAGCCTCTGTGGGGCTGCAGCACCTGCAGGTTTGTGCAAGATCTGGGGGTAGTGATGGGCTGAACAAGGCTGGACTGCAAAACTTACCTGACTCTCATAGGAGCTGGGGCTGGGAACAGGTTGGGCCAGGCTACAGCACGTGCTGGCACATGCAAAGGTCAGGGTTGTGGGCAGACGATGTCAAGGTGGGCCGTGGCATCTGCCAGCATGTGTGAGATCCTGGGCCTGGTAGAGAAATTTGGGGAACTCCTATGGTAAGCTGCAGTTCCTATTTGTGTGGACACAAACAGCGGCTATGGACAGACCAGGCTAGGCTGGGCTGCAGCAACCATCAGTATACTTTTGAGTCAGGTCTGGGGGGTCAGTGACACTGCACCAGTCAACAGAACACACTGGCACAAGCAAGAGCCAGGACGGAGCACAGGCCATGCTGGGTTTAATTGTAATATCTGTCAGTTCACATGAAGGGTGGGGCTAGACCAGACTGGACTAGGTTGCTGCACTTACTAGTGACATTGAGCCATGCTGTAACACTTGCTGGTGAATGCTGAGACTGGGAGTGAACCATCTCATACTAGGCTGCAGAACCCACTGGCATGTGCCAAATCTGGCTCGAACAGTTGGATTCCACTCACAGGGCCAAACCCAGTCTGAATCTGCAGCCTTGGCTTTAGCTGGCCCAGCTCTATCTTGTGTGGACTTTAGGGTAGTGAGTTAGCAGACAAGATCTCTCTCATTCTCATTTCTACCTTTTAAACTAAAACAAATAAATAAGGTCAGGAAAATGGAACCCAAACTAAGTTTTAAAAAATTTGTTTTATTTCAAAGGCAGTTACAGAGAGAAAGTGAGAAAGATAGAGAACTTCCATCTGCTGTTTCATTCCCCCAAATGGCTGCAGCAGCTGGGGTTGAACCACACCAAAGCCAGGACTCCATCCTGATCGTCCACATGGGTCCACGGGCCTAAGGAGTTGGGCCATTTTCCAATACTTTCTCAGGTGCATTAGCATGGAGCTGAATTTGAAGTGGGGTAGCCAGGACTGGAACCAGCACCAAATGGGATGCCAGCATTGTAAGCAACAATTAAACCTGGTAGACTACACTCCAGCTCTGGTAAATTATTTTAATGCAAATATATATATATATATAAAGGTTGGTGCCTGATATAGCATGCTAATCTTCTGCCTGTGGCTCCAGCATCCTATATGGGTGCTCATTTGAATCTCAGCTACTCTACTTTATATGTAGCTCCTTGTTTATAGCTTGGCAAAGCAGTGGAGGATGGCCCTAGGACTTGGGCCACTGCACCCACATGGGGACAGAAGCTCTTGACTTCTAGTTTCACACTAGCCCAGCTCTGGATGTTGTAGTCATTTGGAGAGTGAACCAGCAAAAGGAAGCTTTCTGTCTCTCCTTTCTCATAACGCTGCCTTTCAAACAAAAATAAGTCTAAAGTTGACGTCCATGCACACTAGTAATCTCTTAAAAAGTTCACAGAGAGTACAAATTGTGAAAAAAAAAAAACTGTTCATGCTTTTCAGAAATGTTCGCACCAAAGTAAATGTTTTTTAGTTCCATCTTACAAGAACTTTCTGAAGTTCCTCAGATCAGTAGCACACCATTCTCACTGGGTGAGGTGTGCTGGGGCAATCCCCTGCTGATAGTCATAGCCATAGCATACAGCACAAGCTGGACTTACAGAGAGGCCGCCTGGATACAAATGCAGATGGTAGCACTGCTGCAAGTGGCTGCTCTGAGTGCCTCATAGTCACTAATGCTTCGAATATGTATGACTACCTTCAAAATGCACTAATGATAAAGCTGTTGAGTACTTTAAAAGACCATACTTAAAATAATCAAAATTAGTCAATGCAAGGTGCCAGAACAGTATTATTCAACTTCTGCTAAATCAAATAGGAGTTGAACATAGGCTGAAGTGGACACTTGGAAGGTACTACTTATGCAATATCAGAATTATAGAAAGCTTAATTCAGAAATGTTTGTACACATCCTTTCTCACATGTTCAGTCTGAGCTACCATCACATCCTTTTTATGACTCTGAACAAGCTAAGTGACATACTTATGTGAAGTGGGAGGAAAATGATAGTATTTATAACTCTACAAAAAGTGTATCACAAAGCATACTATTCATATTTTTGAGCTGAGTTATAAGGACTAAAAAAAATCCAAATTGTTATATTCTTAGGTAAGTGTTTGAATCATCATAAACTTTAACAAGTTTTTCCTACTGTGAGTGTACATGAACCTTCCTCGTGCCAGGGGATTACTCACAAAAGTAGAAAAGTAGGTCCCAGCACACCAGGTAGCCCAGCAGCTAAATGTCCTCGACTTACACACCGGGATCTCATATGGGCACTGGTTCATATCCAGGCTGCTCTACTTCCCTCCCACTCCCTGCTTGTGGAAAGCAGTGCCTGGGAAAGCAGTCAAGGACAGCCCAAAGCCTCGGGCCCCTGCGCCCACGTGGGAGAACCAGAAGAGGCTCCTGGCTTCAGATCAGCTCAGCTCCAGGTGTTGTGGCTACTTGGGGAATGAACCAACGGATAAAAGGTCGTTCTCTCTGTCTCTCCTTCACTCTGTAAACCTGACTTTCCAATAAAAAATAGATAAATTTTTTTTTGAAAAGTAGAAAAGTGGCATTTTAAAGTTTTTAATATTTTTATAAGTAAGATGGTCTTAGGGACAAAATCAACCTGGAAGGTATCTCTTAAAGGGGAGACAAGACAGCATATGTTGAAATCCCAAAATAGGAGGGGAAAATGAAAAAAATCTTAAGGAACACTAGGTTAGAGAGTCAGGAGGTATATTTCAATATTCTCTTTGTTGAGGGGACAGATTAAACAAGAGGAGCATCAAATCATCCATGGAACGTGGACTTAAAAGAGAAGTTTGAGGCAGGTTTTTGACCTAGTGGTTAAGGTACTCAGCTACTTCTGTGTGGTTCCTGGATCCAATTCCCTGCTGCGGTTCCAGCTTCCTATTGATGCTCACTTCTGGAGGGAGCAGTGAGAACTCAAGTGCCTGGACCTCTGCCACCCATGTAGAA